AATTTTGGTAAAATTAATGTTGAAATGAAGAATATAATTTCAGTCTAATGTTAGTGCAAAATATCATTAGGCCTTTGTAATCACCGCACGACGCGCGATTATCATGGCAACTAACACGCGCATGGGTAATTCGTCACGTACGCTGACGGTTTATGGTCTGGTTGCTATGGTTTTTGTGATGTTCAGCGTGTAGGGACGCACGTGCGCATAGAATGTAATACTAGAGCAAAGCAAAACACCTTGAAAAATCTAGTCCCCACTATCAGTGGGAATACCTAATAGATATTGATTTAAAGTTATTACCACACTGCTTTTGAACATGAAATTGTGTAGAGCATGTGGGCCTTTTACCCAGGGACCAGAAAATGTAATCTATGGTTGATCTGGAAATAATGATGCCAGCTTGGCCTAGGTGTGCTAATAATTGAATTCTGTAATTGAATTCTTCATGCTACATTATAGGCAACACACAGCATTGTCTTTTCTGAACTTTTTTGCAATTAGTATGGGGAAAAATTTGTGCCTCCAACCGTGAGAAGTATCTTGATAAAATTCCTCCAGCACTAAATGTTATCTGTACACTATCAGCCCACCAGTGTTTGTCTAAAGCAAATGCAAAAAAAAAATGATTTCCCTGCCTGCCTCCCGCCACCAAGTTAAAAAAAAAAAAATGCTTCAGGAAAATGCGCAATGCCACATCTGACCGCCAGTGGCATGGTAACGCACTTTTTCAAGCCCTACTACAGGTACATTACATTCTGCAATATATTTGACTCATAGTGAAAATCCTATCATGAATTCTGATATGAAGAATTGGTCATATAAGACAGTGATACTGTAGTCAATTTGTAGAGCTTAAGAAGTATTAACAAGAATTACAAAATTTAATCATAGACATATGCCTTGCAGCTAAGGACCTGACTTATGACAATCACCAAATGAGTTCTGACTTCAGGAGAAAATCTGACCAATAAAAAGCATGTGTCAATCAACTCATTACACAAATTAGCAGAAGAAGCCGGTAAATTGATTGAAATATTACTAGGTAAACTTTGGTTTCAGTTTGCGTATGCAGTGAAACGTACAGATCTTTACATAACCTTTCGATGTTCTCCTCATGTTTTTAGCTGGGAGGCTAAAATGCAAATTTCAATAGCGCATTATCTTTCAGATGAGACAGTTAAGCTATTGGTCCTGTGTGTAATATGGCCCATGTGCCTGTTAAAGAACAGAGTACAGTCTTTGGAAGACAGTAGGGAATTCCTCCCACCATTGTATACTCATTAGAAATATGTATTCAGACTTTCATGGGCTATTATTTGTACATTTCACACATATTCTAGGTACAAATTACGACTGGGTGGAGAAAGGAAAACAGAAATTGGCTTCTAAGAATGGACAATGTATTGACCAGCATGTCATTCAAGCTTGACCACTCAGCTGAGAGACAGATATGCAAACCTCTTCCATGTGAAATATAATTATTGGTCTAAGAACTTGCTATTAATTTTAGTGGTTGTAAAAACTTAACGATACCACCCAACATTCAACCTAATTAAAATGTTAACCTCCTCTAACCACTCAATAATTTAATAATTTACAGGAAATCTCTACTACAAAGAATGATAAAATACAAAGGATTTAGAAACAAAGGCTGCTCCACATTTCAACTCTAAACCCTCAAGGGTTTTTGAAATGTGGGAAATTATATCAAAGGTGACATCACAACTGTTTTTCCAGGAAGCGATGAAACGTGGGCTTAAGAATCGGAGTGCTTGAGTTCAATCGGGGTTCAATCGGTGTGTATGCGTGTGTATTAGTGTCAATAATTAATCAATACAAGACATGCAAACACATAAAATTACTAGTTTCAGCCATCATAAAAAAACTAGAAATTAGTTGTTTGTCTCCTTTTAAGAGCTACTGTAGCTAGGGGATGCTGATGAGAAAAGATATGCTGATGGGAAGGGGCACACTGATGGGGAGGGACAAGATAAGAAAGTGAGGGGTTCAAGAATATTTTAAATTTTCATAAATACTTATTGCATAAAAACTAATTAATTTTCAATATACTGTACATTTCATATGCATCTACTGTATCTGTAGACAATGGTAACTTTCAGTCCATATAAGGCATGCCATCCCAAAACTATGTTAAATTGAGTAGTTGCCATAAGAGTGTGGTAGTATTGTATACCTCTGTACAGAGAAGCTCATAACTTTGGCAATAGTAAGTCTATTCCAGTAAATGTCATATAATTACAAAGTTAGGAACAAGAATATGCTAAATAGTCAATTTTCATTTTTTGGTGACTGATGCTGGTTTTGGGATGGCAAGCTGATGATTATGATGATTATGATGATTATTATTATTATTATTTTTTTTTAAATTTATTTATTTTTATTTATTTTTTTTTTATTTTTAATTATTATTATTATTATTATTATTATTATTATTATTATTATTAGCATTATCATTATCATTATTACTATTACTATTATTATTATTATTATTATTATTATTATTATTATTATTATTATCATTATTATTATTTAATATCATATTATTATATATCATATTAGATATGTTCTTTTAAGACTCTTTCAGTGTAACACTTATTTTTAAACTTTACATAAACTTTTATAAATTTGTATAATTTAGATATTTACTGTACAATTATTTACATTAAGACACAAAGTTCCATTTTACTTTTTAGCCTACTACTACTATCTGTTAAATCAATTTTGATTGTTCCTTATTACATGCCATTATAAATAATCTATTATTCATCTACTGTGCTATAATTTCATATAAACTTAATCTATTATTTATCTACCCAAAGAATGAGTATCAACACAAGCTTCCGATATTCAAATTATCTTTTCTTCCGGCATGCTTGAAATCATCAGCTACATTGGTTTACTTTTTAGCCTACTACTATATGTTAAATCAATTTTGATTGTTCCTTATATATGCCATTATAAATAATCTATTGTCCATCAACTACTATAATTTCATATAAACATAACCTATTATTTATTTACCCAAGAATGAGTATCAACACAAGCTTCCAATATTTAAATTATCTTTTCTTCCGGTATGCTTGAAATCATCAGCTACCTTGGCTTGTTTGTATGACCCTCTTTTAATCAGGGTAAAGGCACTTTTAGACCTGTTTCAGCAGCAGAGCTTGTAATTACAAGATTGTGACAACCTGTGGTAGGCTCCTTCTGACAAGCCTCATACATCAGTAGTCCCTTCAGGGTCAGTGCACGTACAAGTCATGCATGGGCCTATGTTCTACTTCCACAGTCTAAGCCTGTCCTAGGATGTGATGTTTGCTTACCCTGTAAAGTAGACATGCCTATGAGAGCATTGAACATGGGCCTTGGCATTTTTCTTGCATGGGCATGATCCCCAGACAATAACATAGTTGTAGCCTAACTTTGCGATCAACTATTGGTGTTTGGATGCATAGTTTGCATACTAATCCATTTCGTGGGCACGATCATCCTCCCCTTTAACTTTAATGGAATTATATTTGCCTCAGTGTCTTAAATTATCCCTTTAATTTAATTTTTCTGTATTTAAAAAAATTTAACACAGTATAGATTTTAATTACTTAATACAATTTTCTTATAGGTCTAGGTCTTCTAGAATTATTACAAAAATAATTAATGGCAAAACTATAAACAAAATATAAAAAAAAAAATCCAAAACATTAAATTATAAAATCATGCTACAAACTGTAAAAAAAAAAAAAAATGTGGTTAAAGATGTATTATCCCCTGAAAATGACAATAAATCATAAGATAATTTTGAAATTAATTTTCTCATTTTGCATACAAACATACAAATTATTAACTTGAGCATAAAAAATTATTAAATTTTTAAAATGTGTACCCTAATTTTAATACTGGATAATACAATAAAACACTTGTGACTTGAAGTGTTTCTATCAGTTTTCGCTGTAAAATTATGGGTAAACATTTTTTAAATACGCTAATTTCTATGTTCACAAGTTGATAATTTTTATGTTACTTCAAAGTTAATTTCAAAAACGATTTTTTATTTGGAAATTGTATTTAGCTTGGGACAATACATCTTTAATAATATGGTTCACATGATAAAAATCAAACCTATAAGATTTACGATTTTACTGCCAAGTTTTATTACATGTGAAAAAGGCCCACGAGACCCATTTAAAAGTTAAAGACATGAATTCAGAGTGATTATGTTTGTGACACAACCTACAACTCCCTCATATCACGTTGCTAACTTCTAACGATTTTTTAAAGCTGAATGCGTGCTAGGAATACTTTATCTAATTTTCTAATGGAATAGATTTGAGCGATATTTAAATGCATAATGGCCTAAGCCGATCTGGTATCGAATAAAGATGTACAGTAATATCAAACCCAGGCCGTAATTAAATGTGAGAGATCGATAATCAATATGTTTGCCGCTACCTTCCTGTCAGTCAAAATTTGTGGACACAAACACGCTGCAAATTGCATGTAAGTACATACAGCTACCAGAATAACACTACAGATTGTGGAGTTGTGATAATACTGGCTAATGGATCAGAACAAGAAGTATGAGTGTATCGTTACTGGGTGTGTACAGTAAGTACATCATAAACTTGAATCATCAACATGCATTAGATGGCATAGTTGTTTAGACAACCAGGACCAAATTTCGGATTATTTACATGAACAATATCATTACTCTTAATTAATATGTAAAGAATAATCTAAGGTTGAGAATTTTCCTACCAATTACGTTTATACCAAAATCATTAAATATAGAGTAACACTGTGACAGTATATTAAATATACTGTCACAGTGTCATTTCAAAAAAGCAAACTTACAATCTTTTTTTTTTTAATTGGTAAAAAAAAAATTACCTGAAAATTCTGGAGCCATCGCATTGTACTGCTGTAGAAAAGTATTGAAGGAACATCCAAGTCTTCCCCTTCCTACACAGATATAAAATATAAATTATAATCATGGAGTTTATAGCATGGGCAAACAAACGAGTTTGAGAGGAAGAAGATGTTTTTGCAGGGGGTTGTCCCCTTGACATCAGCCTCTGGGTCAAAGAACGCTTAACTTAATCAACAATTTTATAGATACTGAAGAAACTCGAGTAAAGCTTTGTCTACACTATCAAATTTTTTGTGACGAAAAATGTGATGTGTCCATATATGGGTACGATGAGACGTCATATCACATATCATCAAATTGTATCAAAAAAGTTGAAAGTGTTCAACTTTATGTTCCATCAAATTTTATGTCAAACTTTTTTGGTGAAATTTGATAGTGTAGACAAAGCTTAAGAGGAAGGATTTAAAAGGAAAGGTAAGGAGGAAAAGTAAACAAAGGGGTGTATCAAATTTTCATAGACAAAAAAAACAATTGTATGCCCATATATAGTCATGATATGCCTATACTGTATATACGGTCATCATGAGTATATTTAGGCATGGCACATGTTTTTAATGTTAAATAAAATTTGATAATCTGGACAAGGCTTAACAGGTTTTAATAGGATAATTAGCATTGAAAATTGCTGTGTACATTGAAGTATAATGTACAGCAAAGCTCCTTGAACTTTGTATGGAAATAAAAAACAAGTAATATTGATAAAGTGAGTCTTTTATATTTGAGGGCCTTTGTGTCTACATTTCTGTCAGGGATACCCTTGTGAAACACAGGTTGAATAATATTAATAAAAAACATCAAGTTTTTAAAGTTTCCCCTTCGATCGTCACTTGAAAGGTCTTTTGTACTTTAGTGGATACACAATTAGAGGAAGATCATACAATCAAGTTTGAAACCATCATATAATACAAAACAAATCTCAAGTTTCATTAATAATTATTGGTTCCGATTGATGCTTTTAATTTTTAGCTATGAAATTGCTACAGAACAAAAAAAACTCAACATAATGGTTGAAATTAAAGGAAATGACAATATATCACATGAATGTCTCCACATAATTTAACAACAGACACATTTTGAAGGCTGATATGATATCATATAATTTGTATTAACTGTGTCTTTGTATTTTTGTTGGGCAATCAAAAGTTGATAGTTAAAAAACATCTCAAGATACATTAATAGTTATCGATTTCAATTGTAGCTTTTAGCTAAGAAATTACTACTGATATAAAAAAATTCAACATTATGGTTGTAATTACAGTAAATATGACAGTATATTATCACATGAATCATGTCCCCATAACAACAGTTGTATTTTAAAGACTGATTAAGATAGATAATATAATTTGTGTTATATTGTGTCATCGTCCTTTTGTTAGGTAATCTAGTTGATAGCTGATTTAATTCTTTTTCTGGACTTCCTGTCTCCCTGTATTTTTTAATGAAATTGTAATATTTTCCCTGTTTTTATGACACAAAAAAAAAAGAAATGAAATCTTTCAAAAAAACCTAATGTAACCCTAACAGTGAAAATAACAAGAACTTATAAAAGGCCATTAAACAATATCTTTGAACAAAAATATTTTCTATAATTGTGATTCATTATTCTCAGGATTAAAATAATTAGTTAATCTTAACAAAATTGAGAACACAATAACATACAAACTCAAAAAGACTACCAAGGAGCCATATTACATTTTGAAGTCAATCGTGAAAGCACCACTGTAACTCCCAATGTTATTTTCCAATCCCAAACTATGCACTATTTTTCATTAGTGAACAGTTTGCTTGACCTTTGTCAGTTTGTGTGCAAAAGGTCAAAACAACTTGTACCACATCACAGCATCGGACAGGATGAATATTCTAGGCTTGTCTATTTTACACCTAGCACTACAACACAGGCCTGCAGAGAGAGAGAGGCCAGACCTCACTCACCCAAACATTACATTCAGAGAGCAAGGTAAATTAGAATCTGAAGAGAGTCAATTCAAATTCAATATTTCTTATCAAATATTAAGGAATTCCTAGAATCAATGGACCAAAGTGATTACTGTATTCTCACAAAAAGGTCAAAGAAATTTATTTATATATCTTATATTGATGATGACATAATCGATGTAGAAATATTGAATCCCCACATGATGGTGTGTATTTCGATACTTGGAGTATGTATTATACTATCTCATGACAACTTCTTCAACACAATCAGTTACTTATGGTTCGTACCACACAACATTCTATTTCAACTGTTGTGTTACCGTGAACTGCAGCGACACTTCGCATACGCACAGCTAAATGTACATACGCACACAAATGTATGTATCATATCACTATAGCAACCAATGACTGCTACAACAGTTTACACATATACAAATATGTTTACAAAACTAACATTAAAAGATTGAGTTATAAAGTAATAAGTATATTGTTTATCGATACATTAGACAAAATCATTATACTTACTGTAATTCAGAATAATTAATTCTGAAAATTTGATAAATGCATTAATCTAACCTTTAAGTATATTAATTTCTACTGGTGTATGATACACAACTATACTTAATTGCTTAATATTTCGTTCTTTTGAGACTGACCTTTTTGTTAACTTTGACATCTAAACTCATCTTTAAGTTCAGATTATGTGACCTGAAGAGAGCATATGAATCGTGTACCTGCAAATTTAATAATTCAAAAAGTCAATAAGATGCTTCAAATTACGACAAAATATAAATGACCAAAAAACAAGTTAATCATATAAGTGAAACATAATATCTTTATTAGTCTCATATTATATACTTTCACATAAGTTTCAACTAGCAATAATCATGCCTCAGATAAACCTCATTTGCTATGATATCACATCTGTGCAAAAGAAAAAAAGATAAAGAAACTTGTTCGCTTCTCACAGCTGCTATATGAAGGTGTATAAATGTAAACATGGTTATGTGCATAATTTCAACCAATCACAGATGGCGAGCTCAGAATTAGTAGACTTTCAATGGATGAATGTGTGACCTTCAAAATGAGACTCTCTACAATCTGGTATATTAGAATTGCATACAGCATGGTATGATTGTGTATGGATGTAAATAATGATTGTGCTTAATTTTAACCAATTATAGAAACTGAGAATGTTTACATGTTTTAATGGATGAATGAGTGACTTTTCAATGGGACACCCTCACAAGCTGCAATATTACTAAAAAAATGCATAGAGTATGATGGTCCTGATATGTTGTATGGATGTAGATCATGGATGAGCTACATTCCAGCTAATCAAAGAGAGAACTCTCTGGATGTTTACATTCTAACATATCAATAGATGAATGAATGTTGAACTGATGTGATAGCCACTGGGAAGTGAGCTCTCAATCCTTTAAAACATTTATTAATGGATGGATGATTGTGGACTGGTTACCATGTATACAGGTAACAGTGTAGATGCTCACCATGACCAATCACAGCTCCACAATTCAGGATATGTTACAGTTGTAACATGCATGGATTAGTGAAGCTTTATATTCATCATGATGTACACTTGTGGAAAATGTAAGGGTGGTTTATGCATCATGGTTTTTACAAGTCTTAAATTATAATTACTTCTTAATATTGTATGCCGTACACAAGGGAAATTGGTCATACAATCCGCCCACAAGATTTAATTAATCAAAGATTGTGCGTTAGATTGCACAGAAGTGCTTTAGTGTCCATTACGAAATGCAGACCATAACAATAAAACTCTGTTATACTTTATGTTTGTGGCTATACAGAGTTACCGACAAAGAAAGAATACAGGGGCAGATCCAGGAACCACAGCATGTAAAGAAAAGAAAAGGAGAAGAATGGGGAGGGGGAGGGGAAATGCGGAAACAAGTTTCTGATAAATTATCGGATGAGAATCAGATAATTTATCGAAAAAAAACTTCAATTGCGAAAATATATCCTTTGACCAAGGTCAAATCACAATACAGTACATGCAAAAATTTCTTTTTGTACCGTAGGAACAATTCTTTGTGGGAATGTTTTTTAAGGCAACTAGTAGTTAGTTAGGGCCAGTATCAAACACTTAATAAATAGTGAGTGAATTTTTTCGGGCTTATTAAATATTTCAAAAATAGCCTCAAACGGCTGAGCTTGAAATCGACGGTGCCGCCCAGCTACTCTGCCTGGGGCTAGATCTGTCAGTATCGTTTATTAATTGTACCGTAAAGTACACTTAGACAATGCTAGCGTTCTTTTTCATCTTCTTCTCAATCTCTCCATAGCTACGCTGTAGTACCATTGTGATATAAAGTACATTTCCCAGAATATAAGTAGTACCAAACAATTTCTTGGCCTATCCATCTTGCACAAAAATTGTTGGTTACCTGCTAGGTCAACAAAACGAATGTTTTAATGTTGAACACACTGAATTTTCTTACATAATTTTGCATGATGGGATAAAATATTTGAAGGAAATTTTAAGATAATTTATAAGAGAAACTATCGGAGAAATTAGCAAATTTTAAAATAATTTGTCAGCAAAATTATCGGAGAAATTATAAGTGCTGCTGAGACACAGCCTCTGAAAGATGTGGGCCATATCATTTACCAATTTTACAAAAACAAGTCTTTAGCATAGACTGCCTGCATGACAAAGAGAAGCATCAGTTGCAAGTAGTCTCATTTAGAATTAGACTTTTGGGGTGCAATGTCACAGAGGTCACACATATACAAAGCATCTGTTTTAGAACAGACATGTTCATTGGCTACTAGTATGTGATACAGCAACTATCACCCAATCATGATGAAAAAGACATGAATGAATGATTATGACATTCAGTGACACACTGAACTTTGCAGTGGACAATATTAGAAACAATTTCTGCTAGTTTACCAATGATGCACTTTGGAAGTGGTGTAAACTCTGAAAAAAAATCAAGGAAAAGAAGAAATAAAACCAAAATAAATGTAATTATTTATTTATTAACCATATAATTATTTACTTCACATCAAAGATGAGATTAGGAATAATATGTTGATGAAATCTTTTAATTAAAACCAATACTTATAGGAGCTGTATTTTTTTCTACTTCACTAGGTTTCTATTTTTTTTTTTGTAATACTGTATTAGTAACATAATACATGTATTCATTAAAACAATAAATCATTAGCCTTACAGGACCAGCATTGACTGATAATAGCAAACAATTAATAATTAACTATCGAATGACCTTGAATTCAATAACAACTGAAAATGGACATGCGCTAATACGTGGATACTGCACGTATATATGTTTGCTCAGCTTATGGGCCATTTGCACCTGAGGCTTAAGCTAAAGGTGTCACCGTGCAATGGCAAAGGTAGGCCAAAAGATATATAATATGCAATCATATTTCGCAGGTGGATTACCAAAACACCTGTCATTTTACATCAAGATTTAGTGACCACTTTCAGATTGATTACAGTCCACTAACCAACGATAACCGACAATATGTCACGGCCAACTTAAAGGGGCAGTTGATTCGCATGTTTAGCTTATCAACTTTCTAAACCTGCTATTACCTAGAAATAAACTTTGGCGATTGTATAATATCCGTACTAAACTTCATTCTTTTATTTTATTACAAGTAATTTATTTTATTTCATATTTACTCTGAACCTTAGAAGTTAACACTGAATTCCAAACTGGGGTCAGCGGACCGCTAAAATAATGAAAAATAACCAAGTCAAAAAAGTCTTCAGGAGGTCCACAAAAAACGTCAGCTAGACTTTTAGACCAATTTTTCATGATTGGATTATTTTTTATACTGCAGGATGTATAATTATTTTTCTTGTCTAACAAAAGTGTGACCTTACTTACAGGTAATCATTAGAAGCCTTATCAATAATAAAATAGGTTTAGTGTATTTTTGTGGCTAACTTCATCTATATTCAAATCCGGTCCTATTGATGGAATATCAACAAAGGGAAACTTACACTTGGGGTCTGTGAAGAATTTTAACATGCCCTAAGGATCTGGGATATGTAAAAAGGTTGGGAACCACAGTTATACAGTAAGTAATCATGTACTGTTTACCTTCAGGGCAAGGTTTTAGCGAAAAGGTCCATTAGGACCCATCATCATTGTAATATGACTATTATTATTAGTACTGTATATACAATGGACATTGCGAAAGCCCTTATTCATGAGAATGGTGAGTTTAGAACTGAAGATGAACGTGTCACTATGCACACTCAACTCACCCCAAGGGTCACTTATAAATAACCAATCAATGGCAAATAAAACAATTATATACAGACATAGCTTCCGTATGTGTTTGCACAGTACTATTAGAGATTAATCTGCCTGCGTATGAAAATCACCTTCAGACTAATTCGCTCCATTATTAATAATTTCCTAGCAACGTGTCCTTAATTCGGCTTCTGTAAAAAGAAGTAGGTCTGTTCTTAGATCGCTCAACTTCAAATCTGTTTATGGATCTTACTAAACATAGAAAACAGAAGGCTTAATGGGGTATAGTTTAACATGTTTGCTGCCAGGGACGCAAGTTCACGTCCGACAGTGTTCACTCAGGCGCCATGGACGTGTGTTCATGTCCTCACCTGTCTAAACATACCACTATTGTATTGCAAGTGTACTCACTGGCAGTGGTCACCAGAATGTGAACTCCAGCCCTGGAGGTTCAGGGAACCTGGAAGTAATGACCTAAAAATAAATACTGTATGTTTGTTCGTGTTCCATTACAGTTGATGGGAATTATTTTCAGTATGGTGGCGCCCTTTGCCTTGGCATATGGGATGAAACCACTGATCTCTACTATAATAGCTGGATTGCTCATTGGCTGGTTATAGTGAAGCCACCAACGCAATGTTAGGGGTCTTTTGGTATTTGCTTAAATTATTGTTAAAAATAACGATTCTAGCAATACATTTAATAATGATTACAGTTATGTATTTAATGTAAGGCTTTATTTTCAAATCATCTAACCACTCAATGCGACTGTTCATACAGTTTAAAAAAGCGCAGCTGCGTCGTTAGTGATTGACATCACTATAACAATGCGACTTTGCTCGCGCTTTTGTAAACTGCATCAACAGTCGCGTTGAGTGGTTAGATGATTTGAAAAAAACCTTGCGTTAAATTTAAATTTATTATTATAAAGTACTGCAAGAGTCGTTAGTTTTAACAATAATTTTTTTAAATGCCAACTTGTATGATTGGCCAATGAGCAATCCAGCTGTTATAGTAGAGATCAGTGGATGAAATTAAGAAAAAATAGCTTGCCAACAAGTAAAACAGCAAAAAAAATATCAAGAAAAATAAAATTTACTGTACTTCTCGAAACTTGTCAACAATTTGAAAGACATGGAATCACAGCTGAACCCATTGGCTACCACTGAGAGAGATGGGAGAAACAAATTGGAAGGGTGGTTTCCAGGAAAATAAACTTCTCCGGAGTACCTTACAGGTTTAGAAATAATAAAATAAGATGTGCAGAAAAAAACAAAAATTAACCTTAAATTAAGGCCGGTTATAATACAGGAGGGTGAACAGGTGGAATGAAATGAAAGAGAGGACTTTTCCCTTGAGATTCAGTGCCTTAGATACAAGCACACATTGACTAGAAGATAAAACAAGACACCTAAAATTCACCTGAACATGTCTCTGCAAATAAGATTCTTCAAATTTGAGATTTGATTTCCCTGGGCTTTAATCCAGCAACCAAAAAACATCACGCCCTGCCCTACTGGCATAGCATCATCACCCAGTGAAAATAAACTTCCATTCAATGAGTATATCAATGCATATTGAACCCAAGATGTCAACTGCAATCAGATAATAAAGCTTCAGAAATCCCAAATGACTAGTATATGACAATATATTATGATTACTAATAATGGAAATGCATGATTAATAGTGACCTGCTCACATAGTATAGAACACGTTGGTATATCTAGTAGTCTTGAAATGGGGAGGAACGGCGAAGGTAAAGTTGGGGCTTTAAGTGTTAGCACACAAAATAAGGTGATTTGAAGTAATTTTTAACCACTTGAGCGTAATTATTTTTGCTTAAAACATTTCCAGTGGAAGATCAAATGGGGAGGGGGGCAAAGCTTGATTTTTTTGGGAGGAGGTAATTCATGCTCTCTGCACAACAGTTATATATGCCACTGATAATATTTAGTGTAACATTTCCCTGCTGACAACAAGCTTAAAGAGTTTTTCACAATTACAATTTTAATATGTATTCACATCAGAAATTTCCTGTCACCTCACCTACACATACAGTATTATCTTCCCACCATGTGATACCTAAAATAATATTCCATAAATATTAATAACAATTTGTGAATTAATATAATCAATAACCCTAAATGACACACAAAAGGTTATCAAATTCTAGGTTAAAAATTGGTGGTAATATTTAATGTTCTGGATTTACACCCCAGCATTTTTTCTATGATTGTCAATGGCTCGGCCTGCAATCAGCAGACAGCGTCAAGTCATTATGCGCTCACAAGCAAGTGTTGACAGGGATCAGAGATGGAATCGTCGGCCGGCAGCGGCATAACTAGCTTTTGCGGGGCTTTTTTCGAGAGTACAGTCATGCTATAGAGTGGGCTCAGAAAAGTACAGCTTGAAAATGTGGTATCTAGACACAAAAATAAATACCATGACTCAAAATAAAGACCAAATCATGCAAAATAGTATTTGAAATCATGTTCTTCAAGATTTCTTAACAATGCCATAACTAGTTTAATTACGATGCTTTTTCCTCCATAAATACAGTGCATATACCATTTGATTCATAAGGTAATATTCCATAAATATTAAAGGAATGTTTGTGAAATAATACTTCAATTAAAAAGAAACATGATTAAATATACAGTACAATATGAAAACCAATGACTACATTATTTGCACAAGTTGCCAGATATTGTGAAATAACAAATTGCAATTAAATAAAACATGAAATACACAGGGTAGGCGTAGACTTGCCACAAGTCCTGAGCTATATAAGTTATACCAAACAGGTCGGTTGCACATGTTTGACTTTACTATATTAAATATATATTTTAAAATATACTTTATATACCTGAAGTCCCTTTATTATTTTTTTCTCATTCTGGACTGCGTCACCAACGAGCAAGTTAATTTTGAGACAGAATAAGGGACTTGTAAAACACTGCATTCAGGTACCCGGATGCGAAAAGAATGCCATAATCTTATATTCCATATTTGGATAAATGGGCGGACTGAAATAAACGATTTCGACCAATCACTATGCCCACATTTTGAAAGCCACGAACATGAAGAGAAACTGAGTCAGGTCTAGTGTTGGCTAGTTAAGCATGGCTAAAAAATAGTCCCCCTAATGAAACGGACCTAAAATATATAGAATAGACCCTAGGACGAGTAGGCAATGGCAAAAATGAATTAAGCTTAGGCTAGATGGCCCATATTACAACGTACAGCACACCTTTCCGGGAGAATGACCTACAGGCCTCTAGAGTCTAATACTACTAGTAGTAGTAGTAGAAAGAAGCCTGGTGGGCCTACTTTTAAGTTCTTACTTAATAATACAGTACCTTTTTAACAATGTTCTGCAGTACTCTAGGCCTAAAATCTGTGTAGCTTAGTGGTTAGCAGGGTTATCTGTAAGTTACTACAACGGTTCTTCTTTAATTTGAAAATTACAAAGATTAATTAATATGCAAGAGGTAAGCCAATTACGTGACTTACAAAGTCAGTCACGCATACAATATCACACATCAAATTATATGTGTTAATTTGTACCCATGAATGATCAGGCAGGGTTTGCCCAGGCCCTAATCCGAAAAAAACAAGAAAGAAATCGAGTATGGGATGCCAAATAAATTAGGTAAATGCACGTAATAAGCGCAATAAAAAGTGAGTAACCCAAAATTAGGGACTGGAACCCAGACTAAGGGTATGCTATGCATTATTCTTTGAAATACAAATGGTTAGCATTTAGAATAAAAGAATGCTGGTATTGAATTGCACTTCAGTGGTGGATCTAGCAATGGGGGGTAGATGTGAGGTGTAAAGCACCGAGCGGGTTGTTTGGAGGAGGTGTGGTTTTGGGAGGGGAGTCCCTTCCATTTGAGTTCTTCTTTGTAATTAGTAGATGGCTAGACGCTCTTAGATGACATCTGAAAAGAAGTTAAGCTTAAAATAGAAAGTGTATGTTTTCCCTACTCAGCATGTAACATCTAGGCCTATATACATGAGAAGCACACACACAAGACAAGTTTTTTATGGTAACCAAGTGAGGGAGGGGGGGTTGGCTAGCCACCCTATTCACCCCCTCTAGATCTGCCACTGGCCATTTATCACAGTCTTTATGAGATGTACTATTGAATTGTATCAAATTTAGTAATAACATCATGTCTCATGTGCTGTATTTGCTTTCGGTAAGTCTTTACCGAATGTTTTGTAAGCAACTTCAATTATTTCGCCAATTCTTGGTATATTTATGGCAGACAGTCCATGTACGCATACCTCAGACGATAAAGCTATAACTAATAGAGCACTAAAAATTCAGCTTAACTTTTCAAATAACTTATATCTAGATGTGATGTACTACTGTATCTCTTGAATTGTATCAAGTTTTAAAATGATATTAAGTCTTCACAGAATATTTTATAAGCAGTTTTCAATATTTATGACATGTAGGTATAACTCCATAGATACAGGATAAAGGTATACCTAATCAGCTTAAATTTCTGAATTCGGCCTGAGGCATTAAAAACTTATTTATCATGATCTAGATGTGATGTACTATCTCTTGAATTGTATCAAGTTTAAAAATGATATGAAGTCTTTATTTACAGTACGTCTTCACGGAATATTTTATAAGCAGTTTTCAATATTTATGACATGTACACTGTAGGTATAACTCCATAGATACAGGATGAAGGTATACCTAATCAGCTTAAATTTCTGAATTCGGCCTGAGGCATTAAAAACTTATTTATCATGATCTAGATGTGATGTACTATCTCTTGAATTGTATCAAGTTTAAAAATGATATGAAGTCTTTATTTTCAGTACGTCTTCACGGAATATTTTATAAGCAGTTTTCAATATTTATGACATGTAGGTATAACTCCATAGATACAGGATGAAGGTATACCTAATCAGCTTAAATTTCTGAATTCGGCCTGAGGCATTAATAACTTATTTATCATGATCTAGATGAGATGTACTATCACTTGAATTGTATCAAGTTTAAAAATGACATTAAGTCTCATGTGCTCTATTTGTTTTCATTAGGTCTTTACAGAGTTTTTAAAAGCAGTTTTAATAATTTACGGTCAATTCTTGGTATCATTATGGCAGACAGACCACATTAGTATAGCTCCATACACAGATGATAAAGGTATACCTAATCAGCTTTACTTTCCGAATTTGGCCCGAGGCATTAATAACTTATTTATTATGTTCCAGATGAGAGGTAGTATGATATAAAATGTATCAATTTTAAAGTTGTGTGATGTGTTTGCTTTCAGTAGGACTTTACAGAATATTTTATATGCAGTTTTAAATATTTAGCCAATTTTCAGTACACTTATCGCAGACAAATGATGTAGGTATACCTCCACGGACAGAGGTCCATGTCCAACCTGAACCTGGGGGCCTCGGTTCACCAAACCACCAGAACTGCCAGTAGTTACGCAACAGGTTGCACAACCGTTGTACAATATAGTGTGCGTCTGGCTTTAAAAAATATTACAAATTAGCCTATATATTTTTCCACTTCCTTTACCTGTTTAATAGAATGTTCGGGAACTTTGTCGGGAGCACATGGCATGATCACGTGATGATCATTGGCATCTCCATTGGTTATCCACTCAATACCAATTCTACAGAGAAAAATGAGTGACATATAGTGAATAATTGTGGCGCTGTAGCTTGGTGGTTAAGACACATGCCTATAATCCCAGGGCCATTGGTTCAAATCTTGTCAAAAGCAGTATGTTTTAAACAGCTAAAACAGACTTTGTCTATACAGATTTTTTTTCTAATTTTTTTCTAAAATGCCTCCGGGTTAAAGGTCAATACCTCCGACCGCCGGTCGCACACTTTCTCCAGCACGGCAGAATACTGTACCTCAGTGTAACAAATCAACTAGACTGGAGTTGGCTAGTACTGTGTATGAATAGATATGCCCACTTTCAGATCACTCTACTATTTTCATATTTGCTTGACAACAAAACTGGTATATTTGAATATATTATTATGTATTTTATAATTAATGATAATTAATCCATTTTTTAGTTTATATATTAACTTTGCAAATTATTAAATTAAGTCCAAGACAACCAAGACTCAACTGGTGCAGCGACTAAAAATGCATTCACCTAGTCAGCGACTAAAGCGTAACCCCCTACTGTGGTTGGGGAATAGACTTTAATAGTTAAGTTTGTTGCCATCTCCATTAAAAATAAGGAAATATATTAAATAAATATACCAGCAAATATTTACGATACCACAAGTAGTATCGCGACTTAAAGGAACGTAGGCCACATAAGCATTTATGCTTCCCGACAGCACATGAATACAAAATACAAGTAAAGATTTTATTACTCTATTAATGCATCACTGTGTATTAATGATGTATGGGTTTGCAATAATAGAGAAAGAGAAAATGAGCAAAATTGGTGAAGGAAGAAGAACTGCACATTACAGTTTTTCGCAAGCTTACGAAAACGATAAGGAACACAGTTACGTCATAGAATTTTTAGACAACCCTTCCCCGACAGTAGCATACCTGTAACAACGTAGAAGATACGCATCTTTCGCATGAATCAAGGAGCATATTGAGCTTGTACAGCAATGTTTTATGCATGAATAACGATTATGATAATGACGTATTCGTGTGGCTATGTTCTCACACGGCTGCTAATGGTTAGCAGGATCCGGAGCCTGCTAACCGTTAGCTGCCTTGCGTCCATACGAGAAAATCCCGATCCTGATACCAAGAATATGGTGATCGAATCACTGGCTAATAAGAAACTGGAAATTGTGAACGCGTATGTGTGATTTGTTGATGATAAAAACGCACTCAACTTGCTAACCGATAGCGCTTGCTAACCGTTAGCGGTATCGGGATACTAACGGTTAGCGCTAACCGATCGGGCGTTCTCAGGCAGGTGCTAACGGTTAGCGCTAAAAGTTAGCTCCCGATCCGGATACTAGGGCTCTCGTAAGAACCAGGCTAATATGTATTCACTATTATTTTTTTTTCACATGGCTACTTACTCCCATCGAAATTTAGGAATGTGGAGAAGTCTGACATCATCGTACTTGGAAGCTGTCCTCACATAAACATCAAGTTCACCTTTGAACAGAAAATGAGCTGCAAAAATAATAATAAGTTGGTTTTATATATTGTACAATGCTAAAACTTCTAGCATTTGATGGCACTGTTGTTTATGAAAATTTCTGTTTTCATACCTTGATTTAAAGCATTGTCAATTTCAAAGGCATATTGGGTAAAGAATGACTATGGATGCATGGAGAAGAGTTGGAGCTGTCTCTTGGTGTGCTATCTATTCACCCAAGAAGGGCCCCAATTAAACTTTGGATGTAGTGGTTTAACATTGATGTGTTTCACACAATAATACTCGTACCTCATTTAACATTATACATTTTATGGCACTACAGAAGGTGACACAAGAAGGTGAACCTTTTAATCAGATTTGCTATTTGGTATTTGGTATATATATGCATCTGTCGCATAACGAAGGGACCGAAGGCGCCCGAGACAAGGGGCCGGGAAGGGTGGGGGTGTGGGGCGCGAAGCCCCCAGCCGCTCAGGTGTTTGTAATATTTTGTGATGCATTTCAATGTCTTTTCTGGCACGGCACAATTGAGTTCTTAATTTTGTATCATGATTTAACAAATAAGTGTAGTATATTGTAATTAAGATAATACTTTTTTTGTTTTCTCCGACAGAGTTTGCGGCAAACATCAATGAAATTTGATAATTCCAACGATCTACCCCATTAACCATTAAGTTTTTATATATTCAATTATCTATATTTCATTAAGCGCTTTTCATCTAATTAAGCAAGTTTCTCGTCAAAGTTTAAGAATAATAAGAGCGTGATAACATTTCTAGTGTTTATTGGAGGAGAAGGAAGTGAAGAATGAAGAGCATGATAATGAGAAGGAGGAGGATAAGAAAGATGAGAAGAGGAGGTGGTGGAGTAAGTGGAGGATGACGATGAGGAGGAGAACGAGAAAGATGAGGACGAGGAGGAAGATGATGATGAAATGTATTAGCCACAAACTCACCATTAGTCCAATCAAGATATACATCAGCAAACTCCCAATCCAAATGTTCTGTGGTGTTGTAACAATCTTTAGTGCTTAGCCACAAGTAATTCCACCGCTGAATGGTTAAAATAAGCCTACCATGGAAAAGCAACCTCATCTTGTCCCAAAATGGTAGCACATACAGAGCCCCTATTCCTAGGTTCAAAGCACTTTGTTTTCCCTGGTCATTGAGTCTACATGCTTAAGTGTTGCTGCCACATGGCGCAGTAGCAGGCAACCCCATCAGGAACCCATTTATTCTCAGGGGCGTAGGGTGGTTCCCATCTGCTGGGGGTGTGAAAATTGTTAATGCGAAACTACAAAGCATCCGTCGTATAACAAGGCCCCCGAGACAAGGGGGCCGGGAAGGACCCCGGTAGGGGTATGGGGAGCGAAGCCCCCAGCCGCTCAGGAGTTTGTAATATTTTGTGATGCATTTCAATGTCTTTTCTGGCACAATTGAGTTCTTAATTTTGTATTATGATTTAACAAATAAGTGTAATATATTGTGATTATAAGATAATACTTTGTTCATCTGTAACTTAATTTCTTGTTACACATTGTTTCATTTCTATTATATTATATAAAACAAATGTTTGTACTCTTTTTCTAATTATTACTGTTGTATGTGTTATTGGTATTATTGAAAAGATTACACAGAACAGAATCATGATAATATTTATAGCCCATTAATTCACAATAAGTTGTTGCTTCAACTATACATTTCCCCAATATTGTACTATGCTATGTTCTGTCTGTATGCAAAAAAGCTGTTTAAGGATTTTTTTTTATTCTCCGACAGAGTTTGCGGCAAATGTCAATGAAATTTGATAATTCCAACAATCTACCTCCTTATCCCTATTTTAACAAGTTTTTAAATATTCAATTATCTATATTTCATTAAGTGTTTTTCATCTCATTAAGCAAGTTTCTCATCAAAGTTTAAGAATAATAAGAGCGTGATAACGTTCCTAGTGTTTATTGGAGGAGGAGAAGGAGGTGGAGAATGAGGAGGAGGATGATGATGAGAAGGAGGATGAGAAAGTTGAGAGGAGGAGGATGTGGAGCAAGAGGAGGATGAGGACAAAGAAACTCACCATTAGTCCAATCAAGATACACATCAGCAAACTCCCAATCCAAATGTTCTGTGGTGTTGTAACAATCTTTAGTGCTTAGCCACAAGTAATTCCACCGCTGAATGGTTAAAATAAGCCTACCATGGAAAAGCAACCTCATCTTGTCCCAAAATGGTAGAGGAAAGCTGGGATCTAAAGAGGGCTTGTTTAAGTTGTTCATACATATGTTTAACTGTGTCCAGGTTTGCTCAAAGCATGGACCATATGCCACATCCCATGAATTGATATCTGATTGAAGGCAAAGAGAAAAATATAACAAAATAAATATTCCAAATTTGATGCATTTAAAATGTAAACGTTATAACCAGAATCAATTCCTAACTCTATTTTGCATTTACTGCCAGTAAAAATTTGCAATACGTTTCTAGAAGGAAGAACAACAAAAGATTTTGAATATGAATACGTACCTGAAACTAAGTCATGATAGAACTTGAGTGCTGGCATACTGCGAATGACCGTGGCATTACTCCAGGGGGTGCCAACTTCCACCACTGTTTCCCTTTTTGCTGAAATAAATGAATAAATTATATATAATAATGCATAATACTGTATTTCTATGTAAATAACTTACGACAACAAAAGAAACCCAATAAAATGGATAGGCCTGGAGAAGATTAACCTGTGTGACAATTGTATTTACAATATGTTGTATTAACTTTCTAATTATTTTCTATTTGTATACAGTAGTGCTTTCTTTTATTTATAAATGGATAAATAAAAAACATTTCTATAAATAAGAAATTTAAGTCTAAATAGCTTTCTTATTTTTATTTTAATTATTATTAAATAATCATCTTTATTATCATTAATAATACAGTAATAATTTTCTGTACCTCTTGGTACCCCTTCTTGTTCAGCACCTAGCAGCCTCCCCCACCACATCCAGTCACTCAGTTCAACTACTCGCAGGGGATAGTCTCGTAAACCGATATCAAGGTGTTGCACGTTCCCTCTAACCACACGGCACCATAGAGTTGTAAAATTCATGTCATCAGTTGGGGGCACACTGAAACACAGAGCATTGGGTAATTGAATGGGGTATTATATTGTTACTATTGGGTAAGCAGTAGGGGTGTCAACATCAAATATTTTTCCCCCCAGGTTACACAAACCTAAGGCGATGCTGGTAATCTGGAATGGGTTATTTCATTATTTTTTTAGGTAAATTTCACAAGAGCACCTTCAAGATTGTGCATACATTCAGGGAATTTAAAAGCGAAATTAATGTTTCCATTATTTTTTATTATATTCGAGGGGTAACCTCTTTTTAAAAACATTTATTGGTTTATCAAGGTAAATTCAAGCCACCCAATAAACTGACTTTTAAGTTTATTGTTACCTACCTAGAATGATCTATTTCCTTCATGATATTAATTATACTTTTTTTACCATTCATCGACGGATCTGCTAATATAATTACTTCCATGTCATCCACGGTTAGCGTCATCAATGCTTGTCGCATTGGTGTGTTCGCGTACAGTTTCTGAGAACGCTTTATGTAGATGTCAACATTCTTCTTTGCCAGAGAGGTGTACAGTTCTGATATTTTGTTTGCTATTAAATATTTTAAAAAATAAAATAAAAAAATATAAATAAATTTTCAAATATTTATTATTACAAAAACTGTGCATTTCAATGAGGACAATTTAAAAAAATTGTGTATGAAACACATCGGCAAAAGCAATACATTTTGATGGGATTAAAATTAAAAATTTTAAGTTATTATTGTTAATATATTATTACTTTATTATTAAGAATAATGCTATATTATTACTGCTATTATTCTTATGATTATTATTATTATATTCACTGTTTTTTTTTTTTTATTACTGCTTTACAGAAATTTTGAAGTTCACACTCTTTATTTTCTAAATCATCACTATACTTAACTTATTACAATTAATAACAAAGTCATATTATTGCTATATTACTACATTACAAATATATATTACAAATATTATTTTGGTTATTACTATTTTCTATTTTTAATATAATGCTATATTCAAGTATCACTTATGGTCTTTTGTTTATATCACATGACTTGAAAGAGAACAATATAAATGTATTATGTATGAAAATATACATTATGGGTGTAGATATATGCAAATAGTTGTGGCTATGCAGAATCAAAGTTCATTAAGTAAATACACGACACACATACATGACAGAAGCTCTCCATGGTTTTGTCTCAATTCAGCTACTTTGCAACCAAGAACATCCAAGCGACGGGCAGCCTCCATGTACTCGTCCTTCATCAGATCAAAGTTATCGCCGATCTTTACTTCAAACAGATCATCATGAATCCTTATAGCCACTGACTGTTAACAAAGAAAATACTTTGTAATCTGTGTTATTTAAAATAGTTAAATAGTTTTATTGATAATATTTAAGATGTCTATTACCAAATCTTCATGATATACTGTCTTTGGTAAAAAGACTTTAAAGTAAGGCCTGTGGAGAATATATCGTCCAAGCAAAAAAGTTTACCTAGAAAAACTGTCCATGTATTTCAGAAAATAAGGCAGGATTTCCCTGCAAATTTTGCTTAAAAATTAGGCCTTGATCTATCTTTTAGTACATAAAAAATCTATTATGCAGTAGCATACGATTCTGCGTACCTATTTTCCAGGCGATTTTCTGCACAAATTTGAGCGAGATTTCGATATATCATCAACGCAATTAAAACAATTTACAGTATGGTAAAGTTCAGTTAAACACATATTATTAAAACATCAAAACAGTTTAGTATTTGCTATTTACATATTATACTATGAAAATCATTAATGAATTAAATACCAGTTTCTCAACTTGGTACCTATGTTGTTGGGTTAAACTGTTGCAAATGAAATAATATGATGCTGTTAATATGATAATCTTTACTGTATACTAACAATACTTAGCTTACTTTCACCCTAAGGACAAAATCAGCATACAGAGGTTCATCTCCTTGTCTCTTCTTTCTGTGTAACATTTTCAACCATTTATTGATATTGATAATCTAAGTTGGAAAAAAGTAATTAATCATTTTAATTTCACATATATTGTATGGAAGCTCAACAGGTATTGGCTATGTATTTTGTAAGCTATGTTAGCAGTGATTGACTAACTATTTTGTATGTTATCTCACCAGTGATTGGCTAACCATTTTGTAAGCTATGTTAACAGTGATTAGCTAATAAGTTTTTATGCTATCTCAACCAGGATTGTGTATTTTCTGTCTC